AGCATGTGGTGGGATGAGCTTGAGTGACTGTGGAAGAGTGTCTGGGAGCAGGCTTTAGCTACCATTCAAGTTCCCCAAGTAACAGGTTGCCACCATTGAACTTCTCTGCCCCAGTGACCTGTCACTTGGGCTATATCTGAACACAGGACTAACACTCTTCTGGAAGACTGCTAGATCTGTTTGTGGAAAAAAAAGTCTAATGCTCCTTTAAAAGAGCACTAAACATCTGTTCAAAAAACAGCCTGACAGATCACACACAAAGCATAGGCATGAAGGCTAAAGCATAGGCAGCATCACCTGATTCAGCCTGTGTCAGCCCTTTGAATGGGCAAAGTCAAGAAAAAGGTCAGGGAGGGATTCCAAGAATGTGGCTTATTATTATAGGATAGATAACAAAATCTTGAAAGTCTGTCAGAGTTTTTCACTACTCAGTCCTATGCTAAACAGCAAGGGTGGGTTCTTTTCCTCTCCTCTCAGAATTGAGAAATCCCCCTGCTTAACAGTTCTTTTGTCATTCCCAAAGTGAGGTCTACATTCCCTCACACCCTGCAGCCTTTGCCTGTGCCTGTGACCTCTCACCCAGGCTAAAAGGAGAAACAGGCAAAATTCTTCAGTTTCATGTCAGTTCCAAAATATTCCAGATTTGTTAAATGCTGAAAAGAAATAGCACTGCTAGCAGCAAGTGGCCACTGGCAGCACCTGGGAGTAGCCCATGGCTAGCATTGGAGTAAGCAAAATGACATTTGCAAAGTAATAAAAAGAATAGAAATTATAGCCATAGAAAATCCCTTGGCAGCAGAAGCAATGAAAATCTGTACAGGTTATCCTTGACTTAGGACCACAATAGGGACCAGAAAATTTATAATTAAGCAGTGCGGTTGTTAAGCAAGGAATCACATGACCACAACCAGTTTTACTACTTTGGTTTTTCCAGTGGTCGTTAAGCTATTCACCATGGTCATTAAGTGGATCACACGGTTCCCCATTGATTTTGCTTGAAGCTGGCTGGGAAGGTTGCAAATGGCAATCACGTGACCCTGGGACACTGAAACCATACATGCCAGTTGCCAAGCTCCTGAATTTTGATCATGTGACCACAGGGACACTGCAGTGGTGTGAGGACCATCCCCACCAGAAGTCATCTCTCCATGAGAGGGGAGATGGCACCACAGCTGGATCGGTGGCTGGCAGCAAGTGCTAGCTGCCCAACTTGCTCCGGATTAAGGAGGAAGCAAGGAAAATAACCTTTCTGCAACTTCCATTTCCCTCACTTTTACATGAACTTAATATCCTGACAGCTTAGGTAAGGCTAATCCTGACACCAATCAGTTATTGCTAATAATATAACTTGAAAACTTTAGAACTACATGGGGGAAATGCTCCTTAACAAAATTATATACTTATGGACTCTCTTCAAATACGTATTTTCTCTAAGCTTGGATAAGGCTAAAAATGTCATTAAGCAGAGGATTTAGGACACAGAGTCACAAAAAAAACTTAAGTAAAATTTCAGAGTCGTATCAACCTCTTAGAGAGTGTTAAAGGTTTAGCAGCTTATTAGTACTGTAGTCACTTATCTATCCTAAATATCAATGGGTATTCTGAAGAACCCAATTTAATGATCTACTATTGTTGCTATTAGGAGGCAGGTACTGAAAAATCTGTTTCTCAGAAGCATTTTTCATGTAAGACTGGGCTAAATGTATACAGTCAGTTTTATTTTGACTCTTGGCTTAATTTAATTCAAGCTCTATTAAAGGCTATTGAAATGAATTTTATACATAGTGCCTTTTAACTAATAAGAATTCTCAGGTCATGTTTTTAATTGCCAAATTTTGTTTCTGAGCAAAAGAACTTGCTAGAAAATTATAACCTCACAAAATTGACTCAAATAAATTACTTGAAGCGACAGTCAGGATGTTTATATTTAGATTGTCATATTGTACTGTTATTACTGTATATGTTTATTTTAACAACAGTTGTTCTGATTGTATTATGACTGTAATAAAGATTGAATTGAGTTACAGAAACTCAATGAACAAACCTACAACAGGGATCAAATAAGATTAGCTATAACCAAAGAATTTGATTTATTAACAAATATATAGAACATGTAATTGCACTGTTTTATTTCACTTTCTAGAGTTATCCAAACAGCTAAAATAGAGAAAGATTCTTTTGTGTTCTGCTTCTTCTATTGTTATAATAGAAATAAAGCATAGGTATCAGATTAATGTTAATCAACAGTTACCAAGAATTGCACATACTTTTTTATGTTATCATAACTGTTTGCTATAAATAGTTCCCTTATTTTTAAATGTAATCAAAATATGATATTTTTAATTAGCAGAGGAAGAAAAATACTGACCTTATCTTCAAAAATATAGACTGAAATACTTAATAATACACATTAAATCATTTAATGCTTAAGCAATAAATGCTCAAACATTAAATTATCATTAAAAATTAAACCACAGAACTATTTGTAAGATAAGTTGTAAATTTTCTTAGAATATTTAGCTAAATGATCAGAATATAAACAGTGGAATTAGTAGCACAGCATCTCTCTTTTCAAGAAATATGGTTTTCCCCTTTTCAATTTTTTACCTGCCTTTGTATTCAAGAAAGAAAACTTAAGTAGCCTCTCAGAAGAAAAGTGTGCTCACTCTATATCTCATTAAAACAATTCTCAAAATAAAACTACATATACAAATAGAGTACATTTTCATAATCAATTATTTAACATAGTCACTGCACAGTTGGACAGAAATGTTATATGACAAAAGAAGAGAAAGTACTTCACAGAAATTAAGATAAAGTGAGTCAGAATACAATATGAATGCAAATATAAAATACTGGGAAAAATTTAAAAAGTAAATTACTAGATTACTAAAGCAGAATACGATTACTAAAATGCTGAAATACTACCCTACGTATCCCTAGAGCATCCTCATCCCATTCTTCCTGGCTTTCCTTCTCTTCTATTCCATTTCTGGATCATATGGCAGGTTGCCAAACAAAATTTTGTCTCTAGCCATATAATATTGGGGTCATGATCCTCAAATAAATTTCTGACCATTGCAATATCCAGGAAGTGTAGTGTTTATGCCCGTAAATTATGAGGTCAAAATTGGAGCTTACCACTCTGAGTTTTATTAATCTCTGCAGGTATCAAGCCTGCCAAGCTTGTGCAGACTTACCAGTTTGGAAACCACAGATATCAACATAGGGGCCAAGATGGAAGAAGACCAAATCTTTCTAAGACCATTCTGTTCAAATTCCCTGCATATAGCATGTGGAAGAACTCTTCCCACTTTCCTACTGGGATAGGAGACCTCAAGTAAAAAGGTTCAGAATATAGAAAGGCAGATACCGCTCTTCAAATAGAGGAAAGGTTGTTGGACTTTGCTGCGGTTAATAAATGAGTCAAGTCCTCCTCTATAGCTAACTATTTTAGTTTGCAATCAGCTATTTGTACTATTAAAAAAAAAAATCTAGAAACATCCGAGTTGGTGTTTGGGTAGAATTAGCTCTGTATTATTCAGGGCTTTTTACACAATACTGTCCTTAATGATCTATGAACTGCAATCAGCTAACAAGGAATGCTCCTTCTTTTACTACTGTTGTTTAAGGCCAATTGAAGACTTTGAACCAATCAGTGTCTCTGCACTATGTTGATCTTTTACGACAGATGCTCCAAGTCAACATTCCTGCCATATTTGCATTAACCATCTTAAATGAGAAGCAGTTCCACCTCTGCTTATATTGCAGGTTGAAAGACATATTTCCTGCCCTGTTTATGGAGGCTCAGAACTCATGGTAGGTGGTAATCTTTCAATCAGCTTTCAATTCTGAGACTCTCTACAAATTACAGAAAGTTGTGACAGACACTTAATCCAGGGTAGTCATAGATGCACATGTTCCCCAAATAAATTCCCCTAGAAAATCTGCATTAGTGACTCCATTTAAAACAATTAGATCCAGTCTGCTGAAAATCTGTACTAAGTACACCTCAATATAGTTATATAGCAGCAGATTTATAATTGCAAGCTGCAAAATGGAAAGGTTCTAGATTTGGAGGGCATTGTTCAAATTCTCTGCATCACTCACCCACTTCTGACACTGAAATTACTGACAAAGACATGGGGATATGTCATTTTTAATAATCAAAGATGAATGGTTAATAAGCAGGTTCTCGGGGGGAGAGGGGCAATAAGATTGCAGTGGCTGAATTTTATTAATGCTGCTGTTGCAAACCTCAGTGGAGCAAGTTTAACTTTCAAAGCCCAGAATTTAGTAGAAATAAATATTCTGAACCTGTCTCTGTGATATCTTCTGCCTTGACTCCCTTTTACTGTCAGAGAGGTCTAGTAAAACCCATCGAGATTAGTTCTTTCTTGCATCCAGGTCTTCTGAAAAATTATCACACTGCATTTGGCTAAATAAAAAATGAAGTCAGATTCTGTTATTCTTGCAGTCTCATCCTCAGGCACTGAAAGCATACTGTACCCTGAAGTAGGCTGCCAAGAGTACTACTAGACACCACTTCTATAGGTATTGATTGCTCTGAAACCTCCTTCTGCATGCCTTCTCCTCTGTTGTGCTTTATGTATCTTCTTGGCAGCTACACAATCCGGTCAATTAGAAAATTGTGCCTGAAGGATCCTAAATCCTGTCACTCAGTAATTTAGCCTCTTGACATAGCCTTTTTCCCTTCATCTTTTGTTAGTAGAAAAGCACTGTTTTCTGGTGGAATGGATGAGTCAATAAAGGTTGCAACAATAACCTCTGGTCACTTTCCTGGATTCCATTCAAATTATCCTTATATGCATCCTGGTGAGTATATATAGGAAAGCTGCATATTTTTTTCTTAGATGGAGCATTTAAACTTTCTGCAGACAAACTGAACATAGTTTTGACAACTCCAGCAACATTTGTGTGTTTTTGAGACTTTCTGCTGTGGATGTAATTGGCTTCAATGAGCTTTTTAACATCTTCGCCTACAGAGAATATCTTTTTGCTCAGTCCATGAAAGAGCTTTAAAATAGCATGATTTTTTTCTCTCCCACTAGTCCAGCCTCTCAGGACTTGAGGATGAAGACTAATACTGTTACGTGGCCTTGAGGGTGCCTGAACAGAATAGATTATATACAACTGATTCATGGTGTTTTAAATAATAGATTTCCAAAAATTCGTATCTGCATGTTTGGGATTTAGCAGAGCATAAATATCCATAGTTTAATAATTACTGGTTCTGAAAAAGTTCTAGCAATAAATTATATTTAAGATCAATTAAACAGTTATATTGCATACTTTTGAGCAAAGATAACAAATTATGATGATCTTAGCACTGAAATATATATATATATAGGCTACATACTGAAGGAATTCACTGTTTTTAAAATCAAAATGTAATATTTTCAAAATGGTTGGTTTACAATATAAAACATTGTGTTACTTAACATATACTAAGAATCTAGATACAGTATTTAGATGAACTAAAAAAGCACATTAGATTTTAAGTAAAAACCCCAACACATATAAACAGTGGAATAAGTGAATTACAAAGAACACACAGAGACACGTATGTATCTATGTACATATGTGTGCTTTTAAAAAGTTCTAAGAGCATATCTATAAAGACCTTTCTGTACTATCTGACTGTACTAAATTAACTAAAACAAGTATCTCCTGGGAAAAAAAAATCACTTAAAGATGCATAGTTGCTGTTCTGTAGACTGGAGTCATGATATAATCATCCTAAATGTCTCCATGCTTATATACTGTGAGATTAAAACAGCCATTGACAGGACCACCAAAATAGAAATATTCATTCTAATAAAGGGCCTTTATATATGGCTTGTGATACAGAGTTATTTTAACTGTGTATCACAAGTTACCTGACATAGCACAACATTAGTTCTATCATGCATATATCCTTTCACAAATCATTGATTAAACATATTATTTTCTTACATGGGATGTAGTCTGAGCCAACTGAATAAAAATTTAATAAATACTACTTTAATGTTGCAAGAAGAGAAATAAGCCATGCTTTAAACATTTACTGTATCTTCAGGCTATGAAGGCCAATTTATTAAATCTATTTAGAAAGTTAACAAATGTTCATGGTCTCTATTCCTATTTTTTTACATTATATTCTTCACTTCTAAATTCCCCAGGGATTCCGTAATGTGTTAATAAAATCTTCATCATCCAGAATGCCAATACTTAATCCTTCATAATAATCCTCAAATTCACTAAATGAAACTTCACTGGGATTGCTGCAGGCATCCTCCAGTGTTTCTAGAAATGAAGATTTAATTTCTTCCTCTGTTGCATTACCTGTTAAAATATTACTTACTATTAAAGTTGTTATTCAGCATGTCAAAGTTGTAGTAAAACATTGAAAACAAAAACAAAAATAAAATCTGTGTGACTACAGTATGTTAAAGACGTATTATGAATCTAACATAGAAGTTTTCCTAAGTGAAATTTGTGGAAAGCAAATTAAGACAGAAAACTCAAGGGATATCTTGGAAAAGGTAACTTTTGTTACCTTTGTATGAATCTGGGAGGCAAATGACAAAATGTGCATCACCATGTCACAATGCAAATCCCTGTTGCTTAGATACTTGCATACAACATCAGTATGCAAGTACAAAAGAGAGGAGTTGGTTTGTTTTGTAATGTCACTGCACAGATACCTGGGGTAATTCTGTCTCATACTTTAAGCCTACATTTATCCCAAACTTTGTAATGGCATTCTCCAGATATAGTGGACTACAGTACAGACCAAATGAAGGCCCATTTGGGCTACAAAGATTTCCAAAGGTTGAAAGAAACAGCATCATCATGTTGGCAACTGGTTGAAATATGAGCCTGGCCTTGTGTGTTTATCTGATCAACATAGGAAAATACACTATGTTGTCAACATAACTGCATTCAGCAGACAAACATTTGAGACTGGCTATGAATTAAAGGCCTCATGCTGAAATATCTTGACTTTTTAAAAAATGTTCTTGTTTCTTCCCCATCCTATTTTTTTATAATATTTTTGACTGATCAAGAAAGTTTGCAAATTCTTTTGTAACATTTAGGCTGATCTAATGGAAACATGATATAAATTTAGTGAACAGTCCTTATCTATAGAAAAAAAATTAAGTAATGTAGAACTGCCAGGAAAGCCATATAGATAAAGAAATGGCCATAGGAATACAGTTTCATGGTAAGAATCTTGAAGTCAAATGCTTTTAGAAGCTCAAAGGGATAGAATGTAAATTAGCCCAAAATGATTGAAAATCTATAAACCAGAATAAGTATAAACCAGGGAAGATACAATACATTCAAGTCTTTCTGAAACTGAGTAACTATAATGAATATAATATCCTTGCACCTAGGCCACTACCAATCAAATCAGAAAACATATACCAAAAGGTACACACTTTTTCCAAACTATCAGGCAGTGACAACTGAGAGTAATAACAAATGGTAACAACAATTACTTTATTGTTAATACCTGCTATAACTTGAGGATGTTTTTTAGCACAATAACATTTCTTGATATCTACCATAGGCACCCTGCCAGTTTTATTGTAATCCAGCTTCATATAAGCCTAAACAATAATCAGAAAAAAATGTTAGTGTGAGAATATACAGAAAAAATGTTTATATACATCTGGTATTTTTACATGAAGACAACCAAAATAATATTAACAAAATTAAACACAACATTCTACATGTAGAATTTATATTGGTCGAATACCTGACCTTACATAAATGTTTGGAGAAAAAGTGAGAAATTCAGAAAGTAAATGGGTACACCTAACTGAATCAACATCAGTGAAAGTAAGCTTTTAAAATTTCCTCAGGACAATAAGCTTTGTTCAATCAACCCCTTACAACAATAAATATATTTTCTACTTAGAAATCTAAAAGAGTTTTTTGGTCAACACTACCAATTCCTTAACACATTTTTTCCCCATTGCATAAACAGTATTTTCTCACTGACTCATTTATTTTCACACTGACAATTTTCTTTAGATGACCCAGAAAGAATTTCTCTCACAGCTCCTCCTGCCTACTGCAATATTAACTTGGTACTGTTCAAAGTATCAACTATAATTCCATAAACTAGAATTCTTAAAGTAATACATTAAAAGGTCAGGAAGGTTAAATACAAAAACGTATGTGCTTCTTTTAGCATGCAAAAGTGAAACACATAAAAAATACTAAATTGGGGGGAGGGACCTAAAGATTTGGAAGGTTATTTCAGAAATGAGACATTCAGCCAGTTCTCTCCCATTAATTTTAAGGCAACCACAACAATTGCCATTTATACTGTAATCACAGAAATAATATATTTGAATAGCAGTTTCTGAGATAAAAAGAAAGCATGGCTAACACAGTCAGGTAAGTGAATATAAAACTGAAGCTTAAATGGATCACAGGCATGATCAAATGAGGAGTTTCCTGTCCACTTGTCTCTAATAATTTTGGGACTTTTCAGTTCTCTTTTCTTATTACCTCCCTTTCTGCTACCAAACACTTTGATTTTCTTTGTTTGTGATTTCTCTTAAGCAAGGTATATGTTCACTCCCTTTGCAAAAGCTGCTGCAATACTGTGACCAGGAAGGTTATCTGGCCAGTTCTAGTTGGTTTGTGAAAACCAGTAACTAAGCTGTAACACATATCAGAAGTAGAAGCTGGCTCATCGAGGCAGAGTAGAAAGGAAAGCCTGGAGTAGATCAGGCTTTGCCTTTGCATATTCGAAGAGATCAAGCTTTGCATGCACAAAGCCAGAGCCCTGGCAGGATCGGGCTCCAGGGTTTGTAGCTTGTCCAGGAAGAATGGATGGAAATCTGAGTTTATATCTTATGTCTACCTATATTGGAAATAATGAGATTTTAACACAAAATAAAGAAATCTACTGATCCTTTTTTAATAGAACTTGATATGCATAACTGGTATATGGATGAAATTTTCTCCCAAAGTTTTACATGTAGCTATGCCTTTTAAGATCAGTAGGATTCTGGACACAAAAACTATATTACATCAATCCAGTTCTAAGCAGAAGTGTGGCCAGTGAGTCTAGGACTGCAGCCGATGCCTCTTAGGTTGTAAAGCCTTTAAAAATGTTTTAAATATCTATGTACTGTATCAACAATAGTAAAAAAAAGTTGGGAAGCTAAATAAGAGATGAGGGAATGACTGTCTAAGCACTCATACCTTCAACATCCATGCACAAAAGGCCATCAAGGCAGAAGCAGATTTAATTCCACCATCAACAATTTGAACCTAATCAACAATCTATTTTGAAACATTGATGTGAATCAGAGTTTAAACCAAATCCCATTTGAACTGACTTTCCAAATCAATTCTTGACATACTGTATCTCTCCCTCCACCCCCACCCCAAAAAAGCAGTAAAACATTATACAGGTTAGCAGTATTCAACTTTTTTATACATGCATTATATTCTTAAAATAAGATTACTTACTTTCCTGACAAATGCTTTTCTATATTCATTCATTTCTCCAAGAATAGCACGAATAAATTCAATGTAATCAATTTCACCATTATTGTCATCATGTAATAGTAACCACAAAGATTCAAATTCCTAAGTTTAAGAATATCAAGCCAAATTAAGTGTTGCATACCTAACTAACAACATAAGTACTGTGACATAAAAATTGGCAAAAAAACAAAGTAATGCTTCAGAGTGTTCCTTTGAAAATTGTGCATTTAAAAAAAATGTTTTAATGTAAATATTAAAATACCAACATTAGTATTTAGTGTTCCAGATGTCATTAAAGCAACAGTCCAGACACTCTGTCAGGTTGGAAGGAGGGGAGGGAAAGACCAACCAGCTTCATTCACTTTCTTCATACTTCACTACAGCAGCAACAATCAGGTAAGTAAGTAGTAATTAATCTCCAGTTTAGGTTATAGCTCTCTCCTATTGGCTAGAACCAGTTTTACAGCAGCCAATCCCCTTGTCTCTTTTTCTGGCCAATTAGACATTCAGCAAGACTTCTGAAGAATTTTTGGGACCCTGCAATCTTGGGTGAGTTAGTTTTCCATAAATGTTCAAGTAACTGAGGCCCAAATATATTTCTTATTTATGCTTGTATGCATGCCACCCAACATGTAAATTGCAGTTTTGGGTAGCTAACATATGATTGAAACACATAAGAGAGTAAGCAATAAACCTAACAACTGTAAAAGCACAATACAAAATAGCACAAACCATGAAAGCCTTGTACTCTGGCCCTCTGGCCCTGGAGGGCATTATCAAAATCTTCTGCCTGATTAGGTGACCTACAGCCCACCCTACAATAATATCACTGTTGCTTTAACTTCCTCATATTCTCATATGAGAACTCTCATTTAGAGTCTCTCAAATTCCTGAATCTCTAAAAGCATACATGTTTTTCACATACAATGCCATCTCATCCTCCCACTTTGTCTGGCCTATTCCTTTTCAGTAAATTGTACCTTTCAATCTTTGCAAATTGCTCATGAATTACATCCCACCATGTTGAAGTAATCCCTATTAAATTGTATCTACCCTCTTATATGAGGATTTTGACATACCTCTTCAGTCACTTCTAAATGAAATACTTTTAGTGCTTGCCTGTAGTCTGCTTTTGTAAGATTTCCATTTTGCTTCTTGTCCAGTTCACGGAAATATTTTCCTAGTCCTGAAACAATACGAACTCCTCTTTTATTTAATTTTGCTCTCAGATTATCTGGAAAGGAAATTAAAAATAGTTTTTTAAAATTACGCTTTTTTTCTTAAGTACAATGATTGTTTTCAAATATGTAAAAGTGTGACATAATTGGCCTCAATATTGTCTTTCAATGATATAGTATAATAATCTGAAGAATTCTTTTCTAATCCTGCTATATGAGTATGTTACTGCAGATGCTCAGAATTTATCCTAGGATATTCTACACATAATTATCCCATTCTGACATATAACATTGCTAATATCGAAGAAAATTAACACACACTATTTTTTCTATATCAAATCATTATATTTATTACTTATAATCAAAAGGTATACTGAAATACAATTACTGTAGAATAAAGTGCAATCTAGGTTCCATGAAAATATTTTTACAGAACTCATAGACAAGAATTTCTAGTAAATGGGATATACAAACCTTGAATATTCCTCAAAGTATTCTTATCATCTTCCTCCTTGATAGGATGTTCCTCATTTTCCACATTATAGGTCCTATAATATATGCATTCATTAAGCAGTCACAAATACGGAAAGTTACTTTCACAGATACAAATATTTAACTATCATAACCTATATATAAATTAGGAAAAACAGACTTTCTGATTTGTAAAATATTTTTATGTATTTATAATAACTAAGAATTTTGAAATAAACTTATTCTAAAGTACTAAGATTAACTTCCCAAAAGTAACAAGATATGCAAATATTTTATGCATGAAAACATGCAGGCAGTAAAGGCAAAGTAGATAGATTGATAAATGCAACAAAGAGACATCTATATTTACTCCTGAAAGGTGGGACAGCTTGCAAAATACAGACTCTTCTTTAAGGGTTATTTGCTTCCCCACTGCATGTGATTACTGTATTAAAACCCCCTCAGCTTGAACAAGGAACAGCCTAGATTGATGGTTTATATAATGGAGTACAGGCCCTTTACTGAATTTTACTGAAGCTACATGATAACCAGATTAGCACACATGTGAAACAGTCCAGTACAGTAATTTCACCTTATCAAAAGTGATAAATCCAAATTTTTGAGTATTTAAAACAGTTCAGAAATATTCTGTTTCTTAAAGAATAAAAAAACTCCATGTAGCAAACTCTTAGCTAGTTCACACTATCCTAATCCTGAGAATAACATAAAATACTCTCTTTGGGTATGTTTTCTAGTCAGGGATAATGGAAGGCATAAGAGAGCAAGGGGATTAATTTGTCTTAATAGACTTGAAATCTTACTGCATGACAGCATCAAAGCTATGTTACATTTTGCATTATATTAGGCTTCATATCAAAGCCAGGTCCAGGTCCTTGATTTGTGCCTTTGGTGTTTCATTGTTTGTTTGTTTATTCTGGCAGGCATTTCTGGCTTTGCCGGCAATAGTGCTAGGCAGTAACAACAGCCCTTCACTAGTACCAAGGTAGCCTGGAACTGCTGTCAATTTTCCACACTGCCTTAGAGGGATATTAATTTGTGAATACTATAGGAAGTTAAAGTGGCAGCTAATCACAGCCATATAGAGCTCCAGATCAGAAAAAAATGACAGTAAATGGGGCTTCAGTCAGACATAATCTAAAAACTTTTAATGAATCCATTAAATCTGCAAAAGCACAAAAACCACACTGTGCCTTTTAATCAGTAGTACTAGGAATATCCCATTAGAAAGAACATGGTTTAGTATTATCTACCTCTCTCCATCTTATCACATTTCACTTTAGTAGCCACAATCTCTACAATCTGTTTCTGAGCTTTCTTTTAACAGCAGACCCACAAAGAGATACTTGCAATCACCCATTCAAGATGTGTCACACCATGTCTAGCTGAGGCCACATCCATCTTCTTTATCTTTACTTCCTGGAGATCCATAGTATTCCAGGGATGTTTCTTTGATAGACTGATTAGCAGATTAGCAAAACACCCAGCCAACATCCATCTTACATTAATCTTTACTATTCTTGCTTCTACTTACTGGCCTGATTCATACATTGTCTAATTATGGATTATTGAACAAGGCACAATAGGATAGGTACATACAACATGCAAATATACTAAGCCAAAAAATATGACTTACAACTCATAATGGCTAGATTCATAAAACATGCCAAGGCAAAGCCAAACAAACTACATTATACCTCAAAGTGATGTGTTATCTTAGTTGCTGTATCCTCTAATTTGCTATGTTAAGAGATTATAGCATATTGTCTTTCTCACCACAAATAACTTCCATTGATTTATTTCTAATCTCTTACACTTACAGTGGGGCAAAAAAGTATTTAGTCAGCCACCAATTGTGAAAGTTCTCCCACTTAAAA